TCTCCTAGGAATTTCACTGCATGCACAATATGAAATTCCGTGAGATTAGGGGAGAATTTGTTTCAATTTCAAAGGGAAATTAGTCATGTAACGAGCAGATGACGCGTGAACTGAAAAACTAGGAAGTAATTTACGAATTGTCCTTTAAATTTGAATCAAATCCTTCATTTACAGTCACGTTGCAAAGAATCAGGTTATGAAAGTTTCCAACCGAATCAGAACCCCGGAGATTTGTACCAAGATGAATCGGGCATGATGCCCGCAACAAGATTCGCAAAGATGGATTGTTTTGTATCGTGTAATTGGAAAATAAACGGTTTGATCCGGTGGCCGCCTATTTGCGCTCCGCCTGTGAAGTTCCTGGTTCGCGATCCCCATTTGGGTCGATGAATTCACGCACTGCACAGATAACACTCAACCAGGTCGAAATAGCTACACAATAGTGTTTCCTAGCTTTTAAGTTCAGACTTCTTTGCTCTATACGTGACGTATTCCTTCTTTGAGATTCAGTGTGCCACAAATCTCGTACGATATTAATCCTCGATCGATCCTGAGCAACAAACACTTAACATGTGCTATCACGGACAAGTTTTGCAGTGATCATTTTGGAGAACGGATGGTGAAATATTTCTGGTTATACACGTCAGTATTGCAATCTAACACATACTGATTGTGTGTGTAATATTGGTTTACTGTGTTCTTCATTACAGTGGCAAAGGTTTTCAGTGTGATATATATATATATATATTAAAATTTGCATGAAGACACACAAAAGGAGAAGCTGATGAACCTAAGAGCGGTTCATATTGTCAAACGGTCAAAGTTGGCATAGGGTGAACAAAAATTCTGTCACAAATAGGACTCCGTTAATCTGATTGGCTGAATTCGGAAGCACATCTTAGTAACCGGGTTGTAAAACTCAAAAAAAATACTAATCCCAAAAAGTTTAGAGAGATTTAGAGGTGAAAAAATTATCAGCCTAGGTCTGTCAGATAGTCTCATCATTTAGCCGGGAGAATGTACACGGTACGGTACAAAGGCACAGGTGGGTTCGAACCCCAAGGACTTTTGCAATCCAACTGGATCACTGGAAGTCGCCTAAAAGCCGGGACAAACAAGGAAATTGAAAGGGGTGAAAAAATATGTGTACAAGACTAGCGAGCAATGAAAACGATGAACTGGAAGGCTCTTCGCTAGTGCAGTGTTTAGAAGTTCTCACAGTGCAAGGGAGATAGGAATACGCTCAAACAGTGCTGGCTATTCGCAGGAAATGGGAGAGCTAAATCCGGAGACAACTGTTGATAGTCGATAAAATCAACTCAGTGAGGATGACTGCAAGTTTGACTAGTGAATAGAATGGGGAATCGGAAAAGGAGACGTGAATGCCCACGAATATAGGCGCATCCTCCTTTCTGAACCAGTGAAACTAAACTGGCAACCTGACCGGGATTGCATGAAGTTCCTATAAGTAAGTGTGCTTGTGTTGGTTTCCGTCTATCTGTCTATCTGTGTGTGTGTCAAGGCGAAAAAATGCCACAGAAAAGGAGAAAGCGATCTGAGGGAAAGAAAACCGAAATACATTCAGCCGAGATAGAAGCATCAAAAGGCACAGGGCAGGAGAGTCGTGGTAAAGACACTAGAAGACAGACAAAGACTGGGGGAACGAGTCGATGATATAGAATGCCACATTAATTGCTCTCTTTGACAACGAAACAGAGAAAGTTAGAGGTGAAAAACGATCATAAGGACCGATATCAACAGTAAGGAACACCACAGAGACCGCTTGTTAATTCCACAAGTTTCGCTTAGACCATTCAGTCTCACAGTTGACTGTTTGATAACAAAACCGGAATTTTTCGTAACATTTCCCCGACACCTTTGATATTCAGTATTGATTTGGAGCAAGATCGCTTCCTAGTCTAATCAGTAGTATTTATCCTGGTCAATTCAGTAACCATGATTTTCTGATGGTAATGGAATAAATAATAGCAAGTACTTAATAACTCAAATGATAATATTAATGACAGGTATGTTTTAACTGTATGCGATCCCTGAAAACGAATTTACCAGGGCTGATAGATAGAAGTTTCCGGATGCACAAAACGTTTTATTTTTTACACAAAAATAGCCAGTACTTGTTCTCAAATTATTCTCCACCACTGTGCATGCACAGTGACTCGTGTCGGATTCCACGCATCATGCGCTTGACATTTGGAAACACAGTGCTTCTTGTGTCATCACATAAAGACATCGACTAGGTTCCCTCCTTACTACAGTCCGAGAACTATAACCGTCATATGACTTGTGCACTGTGTTCGGCTGTGTTGATATTTGGTTCTGTATGAGTCGCAATCACTAAGCACCATTCACAATAGATTCTGGATCACGTTTTCCTTGTTCGATCATCTATTTGCACTGCGTATCCGCAACCTATCTTCTCAGCCCTCTTGTATCTTATTCTTTTATTTCTCAGGCTCATCCCATACAACCTTGGACAATTGATTTATCATTTCCATTTCGATCTGATTGGTTTTGTGCCCTCGCATTCACTCCGGTCGGGTAGATAGTTTTATTTTTCACATAAAATCAGGCGATCTGTTTTTGTTTGTTTATCAGTAACCTTGACTTATTTTCCGTTGCATAACACTAAAATCGGTCCTGTTGATTTCAGCTTCCCGAAGTCAAAGAATCACGTATCGTGGACCTCAATCCTACTCCGGATATCGTTCAGGCGCATCGCAACAACAGAAATACGGTCCGAGTCAAACATTCGGTCGGAGGGTGCCAATCAATGACGTGAGGTTGTACGGGACACGTCGAAATGAGGACAGATATCGTGAAGGATTAGGCGAACTGGGTGCATTGATGGATGACTAAATCAGTCAACTGATGATTTACGGATAAGATGTTTACTTACTTGTTGTTTTTATGCGCATAAACTGAAGTCCCGATTATTATTTATTCGGCTGCTTTTCAGATATCCAATTTGTTCTTCCCCATTGTGTTTCTGTGAAGTTTAGATAGCAAAAAACAATGTTGTTGCATCATCATTTTATTCTGATTTTTCTGTATTCAGTCCCGGGATCTGAGCGACAATTGAATTAACTGGGAACACGAATTACAGAACGGAATACGTTCGATAGAGACCTATGCTTATGCGAAGTGACCAGCTGTTACCCACCCAATTTTATTACTGCCTATCGGGTTCATGAACGGAAGGAGAGCTGAGGCCACAGTTCGGAAGACTAGCCTACCCGGTTTCGAGACCCAGTCATCGAGTCTCTGAAACTGTAAGTGGCAAACCCCATGGAGTTTCAGCAGATGTTCGACCATTTCCATTTCCATTTCCATTTCCATCGTAATTAGTAATCATTCATAACCTCGACTAAAATAACACAGAGGAAAATAAATAGTACACAGATTTATGAATCTACAATTCGGTATTGTGTCTGTAACAAGGCTTATGTGCAAGCTTCCAGTAAGAAACATGCGACGGACATCAAACAGGTAAAAGAGTATAGGGGATGGGTGTGATTCCTAACGGTCTGGAATGGTTCTGAGTGCCAGTGAAAGATTAGCACCGCAAGCACCGTGTTTAAGCAGTGTTTGCCGTGGATACCTTAAGAGAACGCACATGCTTGTGCATTTCACTAGACGCACTGGGATATGTGAACAACTCTAGTCCATGTAATCGGTGTGTGCTTGTGTGCCAGATGAGGAGTGAATAACTACCGCATTCAGTTGCTCATGGTCTATGGAAGAACTGGAAATCATTTTCTTCCCTCCGTAAAGTAGTTTGATTCCATGTCACATGGATTTACAGTTGCTCAGCTCAAATAACTGGATTGAATGGAGGAATCAAGGCGTCTCAATTCACTCTTGATCGAAAACGAAAGTCGTTGCATTCCGATTTCCAGGCAACATTTAAATGCATATCCGTATTCAAGATGTTATTTAAGAAAAGGTGCTAATATTATACCATATTAAACGAACAAAGTTAGAACACAACAAAAAGTGTCAAATACACAGTTTAACATGTTTGTTAAAAATCTCATTTTGGACAACCAAGGTATGTCTACAAGGAAACAGACCAATTAAATTGAAAGACTCCATAATGAGTAGCATATGAATGAGTGAACAAAATTTACCAGAAGCACACGACCGGTTTCGCGGTTCTTGCATCTCTTCACGTATGCGTATCCGGTCATCTTTAGCTTCAATACAGAATTATCGTAATAATCCGTTGATACGTGTTTGCCTCAAATCCACTTCCCGGGCTTCAAATGAGATATGCGTTGCCTAATCTACATCGGCAGTTCAAATATGAGAATGACCAGACCAAAAATTACCAGATACGCATACCTGACAAGCGGCAAGGGTCGCGAAATCGGTAATGTACTTCTGGGAGATTGTATCCAGTCATTCATTTACTACTAGTTATTAAAACACCCGGAAACAGTCCCCAGCGTCGAGTTGGCTGAGGTTAGACGCAGTTAAAGCACAACACTCAATACAGAATCATTTCAATAAATCTCCGGGATTAATCCGTCTCGCATCAACTTCCCGAAGCTGCAAATTAAATTTGCTATCTCTAGTTGAGAGCAACATTGTCTGGAGAGAAGGTCTCGCTGACGAAACCTGATTAGGAGGAAACTGTCGAGAATATTTCCTGCCAACTTCTGGCAACTACAACACTTGGCAGATTCTTCCACGTAAAACTCACTTTACTATGCTAGTCTAGGACAAGCCAGTCACCGTGAATATTTGACAGATGGTAATTCACCTCACTACGAGTGTTTCACATGCTATTTCTATGTGGCTTCCCTCATGCAATAACAGTATAGTCGAACAGATTAACACACATTTGGACAAATTCCCAATGTCGGAAAGCGTTAAACGCGACCTGAGAGAAAACTAGTGGGGTCGGATACACGAACTAACTTAACTTGAAAGTACTCACTCTGCGGTAAAGCATCTTGATTCGGCTACGTATGAAACACTGTAGACAGGCTTGGACTCGATTTCCTTTTTGATATGCAGAGTGGTTAGAATTAATTGACAGGGAACCGGACCTGAATTGGGTTCATTCATTTCTGTGTGGGCACGAAGAAACAATGCATCTTCATTCATATCACGAAATAAAACCACCCTGTCGATTACACTTGCTCGTGATGCATCTGTTTCACCCCCCAATGGTGATTTCATCGTTGGGCATGTTGATTCTATCCTCGTGCGAGGATAGTGGCACCGGTGGAGTATGCACTTGAAATTGTACTACTAAATGATGATCCAGGTAAGGTGCAAGCTTTTCTGGATCGCTAGAGTGCTAGAGTAGCCATGTTTGGTATGCGTTTTACCCCTTCAAAATGTAAAATATTGCTACCAGACTGGGTTGGTCCATTACCCAGCCTCACTCTAACTAGGGAACTAATGGAGCAAATGGACAAGTTTTGTTATTTGGACAGCCATATCTTACCTGGTGGCTGCACCATGGTTGAAGTGGTGGTAGGCATACAAAAGGCGCGGTTGGCGTTTGCAAACTCGAGACACCTATGGTGCGGTCGCGATTTCTGGCTGTCCTCAAAGGGACGAGTGTATGCTGTGGCAACCCGGTTAGTTCTGCTATATGAAGCAGGAGATTAACCATTAAGAAAACAAGATAAAGATTTACTATCGGTGTTTGAACACCACTGTCTACGCAATATTCCACGAATCTGGTAGGGCAGTCGGATAAGCAACGCTGAGAATTTGTAGCTGCGTTTTAGGCGGTTGCCGTCGTCCAATGGAACAAGTAATCGACCTCCTACGATTACGCTGGTTCGGGCGGGTGTTGCACATGTTACCAAATAGGTTTCCATGGGGCGCGATGTTTGCCGAGGTAGGTTGTGGGTGGAAAATAGTCAAATGTGATTAAATTAAGACTCGGCATGAGGGTCTGAAAACACTAACCAGGAGTCTGGGTCACATCGGTCCTGTTAGGATTCCTGGATGGATACCTCGGGACGACCGTAATCGATGGTTAGAGAGATATGCCTGAGTGTCGTTTGTGCATCTTCTCTCGGACCCTACTCTCAACTTTCCCGTATTTTCCCTATTGCTTCATCCAAATAGGTAACCAAAAGACAGTAACCAAAACCAGCATACGCAATTGCATTTTTAATGGTTAGTGGTTGTAAAAACTGAAACTGAAGGGTCGACAAGACAACATACTGAACGGATGATATGATCCTCGAAAGAGTTGTATCGATTATTGAATGGTATAATACTCCACAATGGAATAAGTTCAAAAAGACAATCAGTATGCATTAGTACTCTTTGGCAAATGCCCCGCAAAGTGTTATGGGTTTATTCTAATCAACTGTAACCCGGTCATGAGAACGATTACCCGCGGTAACCGAAAATTTGAGTGTTGAGCGATATTTCCAAAATGGCCAGTTTTTTGAAGACCGAACAGTCTAAATGTTTGTTTACACTGATAGCCAAGAAAACAGGACTTAAAAACTGGCAAAACCTGAGACATCTTGTGGTGGAAGGCGGTACAAAGAGAGTCCTGGCTAGCGACCAAATCAAGAATGGGGCTCATCCGACCAGACGCGCAGACGCAGCAGTGGGAAGTGCCTCGCGAGACAATATCGACTACCACCCAAAACGAGCGAATCGACAATTACAGCCCGACAGACAATCCGCAGCTAACGGGAAAGATATCCACCGAATGCCACAACGTCAGAGATGTTGATTAACGCATCTCGCGCCGCGATCGGGTCAAACCAGTCGGACTGGCACACGGAAGAAGAGGCAACGTACATGCCAAGTGCGGAGCAAAAGCAACAAGGAATGACCCACAGGAAGAGGCATGAATCATCACGCCGCGCGGCTGAGAATTTATTGTACATAATCGAATGCATACACTGTTTATACTATTTGAATTGGATCAATAGACGATTTTCCCAGCCAGCTCGCCTTCTCGCCACAATCTAATCGGCTGCAAAGTGGTCTGGTGAACAATTCGCCGGCATCCCACAAGCAATGTCTCCAGATAGGTTCTCTGTGAGGCTGGCGAGTGATGTCTGACAAGACTGTGGTGAGCACATCCATCGCCCGAGATTGCCTTTTATCGTTATCTCTGTTACTATTTTAGTTCGTAATTCCAAAATCCTGATCTATCATGCAACCTGGTCAGGATTCAGTCCGGCGGCACGTTGTTTCACATTTGCACTGAATCATAAATTGGTAAACACAACTTCAAAGTATTTGCCTAGACTTAATCACAATTTAGTGAATGTCAACCTTAGATTAAAAGAAAAAAATCAAAGGGGATTTGCGCAGCACGGGATGATGGTGACGATGATTCAGATGTTGATGACTCGGATAATTCGGATGATGATGCTGATGATGGTGATGATGATGATGATGATAACCCGAACAAATGAAAAGCATCAAAGTTTACTGATGGATATTGGACTAAACTGACCTGATTCATTCCAAGGTGTGAATAGAAACGGAAAAATCGGAAAGACGAAATAATCAATTCACGAGGTATTTCGAATAAATCGGTCCAACGTAAACTGCTTCGGGCACAAGTTAACATGGTCTGATCTTCTGCTCGTGTCCTCGGGAAATGCAAACTCATCCCAATCAGAAAGGAAGAGAGAGAGAGAGGGAAATAAGAGCACTACAAAAGGAGGAAAATGTGAACGTTTTCCCCATCTCTATTCACTACCGCACCCAGTTATGCGCATTGGTCAATTTTATATGCAACGACAAGACGAACATGATATCAAACGGGGTTGCACCTTAGCTGAGTCCGACAACTCAGAGACTTTGCAATGTATATCAATCTACTAATTTACTACGGATTCCCAGCAGTGAATATGGCC